ATATATATATATATATATATATATCAATCATTGTGTAATTAAAATATTTATATTTAATTAAATAATAAATTAAATCTTAATTTAGTAAAAGGGCAAAATGGTAACTCAACTTTTCACTATAGAGCTTCCCACTTATAATAATACTAGTCTTCGCTCACGTGTAACGCACGTGTACCCTATTAATTAATATTTCATTTTTTTTAAATGACACAAGTATAAAATATATAAATGAGGCATAAAGTAGATTTTTTAGAAAAATAATCATAACTTGAAACAATGAAGGGTGACATGTATACTCCAAATTTTGTAAATTAATTGAAACGTCAAGTAATATTACCCTATTTATCAAATATAGATATGAGAACCATATATTTATTCACTGGTCATTTGTATTACATACACTTGTATTATATATATGCATGACTTTTCAATTTAATTGGTACCATAAAAGTGAGGTTCAACCATATTATTTTAATTGTTACATAAAAGTGGCATTACTACGATGACTTTCTGAAAGTTAATGTCTCTATGATCCTATACTATGTGTTGACAGTAATAACTACATTTCTTAAAGGATGAAAAAGTTCGTCAAAGAACTAACAAAAATTGAAATCCCAAGATAAAAAATAGAAAACTATCACATAACGTATAAAATTGAGCAATACCTCGAGAATACATTTCAAAATTACTAAAAATAGTCAAAAAATAAATATAGAGAAACATTCAATGATACAACATATGAACAAGACCACACAAAAATAAAATAATAATTGTGTAAACCTCTTCTAGTCTAGATTGAAACCATAATGAGGCTAAGCATATCAAATACCATAAAATCAATAAAAAAGTTGATATTCAAAGAATACATCAAAATCTAATATTAAGAAAGAAGAATCAAAAGCAAATAACACTAAAAAGATCACACAAAATTAACAAATTGTATTACAGATTCTTAGCACAATTTGATGAAAACAAGATCAAAAACTTAAAGAAAACATATTAAAATACAATAAACAAAATCAAGATTAAATAAATAAAATAATAAAAAAGAAAAAACATAAAGATTTAATATGAATGAAATTACCTTTAGTGTCTATACTACTTCTTGTATATCTTTTCTCTATTAACAACAAAAGGTGATAAAGAAATAATCACTGACACAGTCCCAAGCCAAAATTAAATTGATTTTGATAAAGAAGAATTGATATACACATTTATTAAGAAAAATACAACTTTTGGTCTTTCCTCTTCTTGTAACTATTTCCCAAAAGAATTTGAACCATTGTGTCTAGAGGCATGAATTTAAATAAAAAAATATTATCTAATAAATTAATTATATATTAATATTTATTTAGTTTAGAGATAAAACAAGGGCAAAATAGTAATTCAACTTTTAAGTTAAGAGCTTCATACTTATAATAATATATGATATGATATGATAACGGCCATTTTGTATCTTTTTAAAAAGGCTAGAAAACTATTTATACGTAATTCATCTGAGTATTGTTTACAAGTGGCACATTTCATATTTTATATGATAGTGTCTACCTGAACACCTTTTACTTAACCAATCGATATCGATTGCTTATTGTTAACTGGGCCAAACAAAAATGAAATGACAAAACAAACTTAGGTGCTGTCTGTTAAAGACTTGTCTCCATTACGAATCTTGCCATAATGTTGACATGACAACATGAAGTTTGGAAGTTCGTAACGTGTATAAAAATAATGTTAATTATGGTGTGTATTATATACATGTTTACGTCTTTTTTCATTGAAGACCAAAGGACCTTTGAGCGTTTAGAAACAACCCCTCTACCTCTACGAGGTAGTGGTAAGATCTGCGTACATTCTACCATCCCTAGACCCTACTTATAGGATTCCACTTATTATGTTGTCCTTGTTGTTGCTTTTGATAATGTTGCCCTACAGAAAATTGCATGTCTTGAATACAAGACTTTGTGGGCTATGATTTCTTTTCAATTCAATCAAATGTTAAAATAACTTATCTTCATAATAATTCTTCATCTAAATATGAACACCTAGTAATGTTGATATGACAACCTTAAAGTCACCTCAAAAGGCAGGGTGTGTAAGCAGAGGTACCATGATACATGTAACCTTAAAAGAAAATTTGCAATTTGATGCCTTCAACTCAAGACTCTGTACTAACAACTCTTTTCAATTCAATCAAATGACAAAAGAAGATATATTTCAACAATGACAATCAACTATAACACCCCTTCTTTGCTGCCTGATTTACAAATGTAAGACAAATGACAAAAAACTCAAATGAACCAAGGGACAGGAAAGAACAACTCATCTGAATTTGCTGCACTACCAAAACTTTTCCTATATGTGAATGAAGAAACTGATGCTGTACACAGGAGACAATCAGCGATCTCAGGCCACTTCGAAAATGTTGTATCGTCGAATTCTTGATACTTGCATAAGCACGAAACCGTAGATTCTGCATTGCATCTTATTGGAGAATGTACACCAGCACTGGAAGTTGAAATGTGTCTCGTATAATTTTAATGAAACGAATTGTTTCACTTACAAAACTGCAACTTGACTGTAAGGGTGGTGTAAGAGGGTGAAGCAAGTTGAAGTAGTACTAGAAAATGAGCTCTCAAGCTCAGGACATGGTTCAGGAGACACATTTTGAGAAAAACCGGATACATCAGAGCATAGCCATGATGTAAAAGGGTTGTAAGATATGGAAAAAGTGATGTTTGACAGACATATTGAAGTAAAGGGAGATTCTGATAATCCAGTGAAATTGCCTGCTATAGAAACATTTGTGCCAACAATGTCCTCAAAGGTGATACCACTAACAACTGGAAGTGCAGACGGATCAAATTTCTCGTCTGGATGAGAATCATAATGACCTGTGGCCTCAATTCCCACTTGCACATTTGCCATAACCACATCCGTAACAAGAATATCTTTGATATAACCACCTCTCCCTCTTGCAGTCTTCAGCTCAATCCCCAAAAGGGAGTCATACAAGTAAACATGCTCTATCAGCACATTGGAGATACCACCAGACATCTCACTGCCAAAAGCCATTCCAGCACCTGCAAAAGACTGCAGCCTAACCCCTCGAACATGGACATTCGAAGTAGGTTTGCCATAGGAAATCCCGTACTCGTCCCAACCACTTTTGAGAACAACAGCATCATGGCCCATGCTAATATTGCTGGTCTCAATGCACACATGCTCGGAAGAATCTGAAATTGCATATAAGCTCACACATTACTTGGATTTACCTCTAAATTTGTAAAGCGATCAAGCAACTATAGATTGTTTCAGTAAAATCTGGAGTACTTAGTTTCGTCCATCAGCTCAAAGTAAAAACCAGGGTGAAGGCTATGTGTACCTTCAAAGGTGGTGGTGGTGGTGGTGTGTATGTATACATTTCATTTATTATAAATTTGTTTTTGTTTTGCTGCAGAAAACTGGCATTGTTTGATGAACTAAGCAGTAACAGGAAATTATCCGGTTCTTCCCGTTGAGTGTAAAGAAAATTATCCAATTTTTGGCTGAAAATTGTCTTAGAAAATCAATCTGAGGTTCTTCGACAAACATAAGTGTTGGCTATTGGATGTACCACTTAAAAACAGGTTACAGATGCAGAAATGTTGTATACAAAGTAACAAAGGTAAGAGAAATAATTATATTTAAACCAACCTGGGACTACGCCATAGGTATATGGGGAGTTAGCTGGAGAATGAACCGATATGTTCTGAACCACAACATTACTGCAAAATATGAAAATATCTAATAAATAAGAAAATTCCAGATCTCACCACTGAACCTTATATTGAAAAGCTTTTCACACAGAGATAATGAACTTACCTGCAATACACCGGGTGAATATTCCAGGCTGGAGCATTCAGGAAGGTCAAGTTTGAGACGACAACATCTTTGGAGCTAACAAATTCTACTAGGTGTGGTCGAGTATAATTTAAAGAATGGGCAGTGAACTGCTCCCACCATATAGAACCCTGACCATCAACAGTTCCATTATTACCTGCACAAGCAATAGGCATGAGGTGGCTGCATGCAGGGACAACAGAATTAGTAGATCAATGCAATGAAGGAATTCCTGCCTGTTATCACAACATCAGTTAAATTATCTCCAAAAATCAAGCTGCGATATCTTCCACCTTGTGCCTCAATACCTCCACCATAAGAGGGTAAAGCTTCGACTATATCCCAATGAGCATAATCCTACATTGCAATACTTATAAATAACATATGTATATATTCAATGCATATCTAAATACATTGAGACATGAAGTTAGTCCCCGCCATCATAATATGAATACAAACATTAAAATTTGATTATTACGAGGTTTTGACAACTTGTGATCTACCCTTCCACAGCAGAACATGTATCATCTTCTCTGTTGGAGTTACCAGAACGTAGATTTCAGTATAATTTATAGCAACTAAACCATAACACCTCATCATTAAGTGCTACAAGTTCTCATGCTAATCGTTTCTTCCTTCTTCTTATTTTGATGATCGTGGTGTCCGGGCCAGCTAACACGCGCCTCAACTATTCCACGGGGTACTTGTTACCTCCCTCCAACACATGCACCTGGTAATTCTGTGCACCAATGCTTGGAAAGATGGAAAGAAATCACCTACTTAGTATTTTTGCCTCCAGTAGGATTTGAACTTGAGACCTCATGGTTTTCGACTCACCTCATTAACCACTAGTCGACACCCTTGAGTGCCTCATGCTAATCATTTATTTTTCAAGAATTAATTCGGCAATTGTAAATACAACAACAGCCTTCATATTTCCATGAACACAGAAAAAATCTAAACAAGCTGGAACTTCAGAACCAGTCCAGGGGCTAACCTTTGATCCCAGAATAATGGCTTCTTTTTCAAGGAAGAGTGTGAGGTGACTGGTAAGCTTTATGCTTCCGGTCAGCCACCTTCCAGCTGGAACATAGAGCTGTGCTCCACCTTTGTCAGCAAAGGACTTGAGATAGAAAATGGCATTCTGGAAAGCCAGAGTATTTAGAGTCTCCCCATCACCGACAGCCCCAAAGTCCAACACTGACGCACTGTGAGGTCTGGGTTCCAGAGGCTTGTTGAATTTGCATTCTCCGTCAAATTGAGCATCAGTATGTACAATAATATGACTTAACACCAACAACAAAATTAGCACTGCCTGGAAAAGATAAATGCAAAAAAGGAAATGGTAAGTCTTTCAATACCATGCACTTTCTACTGCTTAACCATTTGTATCTTGTAAGTCAATACCATCAATAATCAATAGTATATATGCAAGCAAGAGACTCACATGAAGAGAAATGCATAGCACTGTCGGTTAAAAAGCTACCAATACAATATCATCAGTGGTTCCATGTCCTCCAACATTATACAAAAGTTCTTCAAATCTAGCATTTCTCCACTATTAAAGAATAAGAAAAAAGAGAGTCCGGGTCTTTTTGGTTTTTTTTCCTATGACATAATTTTTGTTGTATGCAGATGCTTACGGAAGACAAAAATCTAAAAAAGTTAAACCACGTCCTTGCACACTTAAGCCAAAGTTATAGTTGAAACAGTACTTTGTCGACATTCTATAACGACTAGATTCGGAAAAAACCAAGTGAGATACAGAAGAGCTCCAATAATTGAAAATGTCAGAAAAGGATTAAGACAAAACCAGTAGAAAGAGCTCAACTAGATAACCTCTTCTTTTTTTTTCATTTTCAGAAAAAAGAAACCTAGTAGCAATAAGTAACTGAGCTTTTAACTGAAGCAAAAACACAAAACTATGGCAAGTCTCATGAATGTAAGTTTAAAAAAGGGAGTACAAATGATAAAGATAATAATGAGAACAGAAAAAAGAAAAACAAAGAGAGTACAAATCAGGTGTGTGCACATAAATTCACAAGCTTTGAGTAATTCAAAGCACTGGAAGTAACCAATTGTATACCAGCTGCAGCTTCACATCAGATCCCTCTTCCTTCTTTTTTTCTCTTTTTTATATAACCAGTTATCGCACACCTTAACTAATTTCACGAGACACCTGTTACTTTCAACTGGTGTTTTTGTCTCCGAGCCTGACACCTCAGGGTTCTCAACCCAGTTTAGATCCCTCTATCAATATTTATGAGCAAAAAAGACACAAAAATATAAGCATCCCCACTTGCATAACAAGTTCATTCTAGGAACAAAAAATGTATCGAAGTTTTGGATTGCAAAAAAATGATCCTAAAATCTAGAAATTTGTCCTACTTATTCTCCTGAAAAAAAACAATGTAGACCAAATCATAAGATTTCAGTTTCCAGATCGAGTAAATCTCTAAAGAAGTAGTCATAACAATCAATTAAAGTACACAGAAATAAGCAAATTTCACAAAGATGAAGAGAACTCCATTGAAAGTACAGTACAGAAAGCAACTTCAAAACTCGATTTTTAGCACAAATTTTGCAATAAAATTGAATACCCATAACTAAAAGCACACTAAAAACTCGATTAGCAACAACAAATAAAGATTCATACTCAGTTTCTTGGAAATAACAGATGCTGCTCGTGTAATTAAAATTGAAAAAATTGAACTTGTAAAAACCCTAAAAAAAAACGTACTTACTAGACCCTTCATGAATCTGTTCTCTTGTCTTCAGAAATGTAGACAATCAATCCTCTTCTTCTTATGAGATTTTACACTGTAGAGTGAAGAGAGAAAGAAGAGAGAGATGGAGAGGAAGAGAGAGAAGGATGTGCAATTGAATAATGCTAATGATTAGTGAAAAAACATGCATTTTATATATATTCTATTTACTCTTTAATTGTCACTAATCATTTTAATTATTTTTTTTTGGTAATAAAAATTAAAAATATAGGCAATTAAAGAGTATATAAAACTATATAAAGGGCAGAATTTTAGGAAATATTCTGGGGAACTCCATTATTTAGTGGATATGGCCGATCCAGCAAAAGGAGTGGGAAAGCCCTCTAATTATTTTTTGGAAAATTTGCTCAAACACGTTTTATCTTTTTCTTATTTTTAATATCTTTTTCTATTTCTAAAAACCGCTAAAATCTTTTATTTTTTTAATGTATTCGAGCTACATATTAATGTATTCAAACCAGTATTTAATGTTTCAAGCTATATATTGTGTATCCAGTTTATTTTATAATGCATCCAAGCTAGTTTTTAATGCATTCGAGCTAATTTATAATGTATCCGTAAACTCTTGTGACTCTAATTCATCATCACTAGATCCAATTACCGCTTTAACTCAAGCTTCTTGTTTGGAATTTAACTTTGACAAATTATTATTCCTCCTCTTGCGTTGACCCACTATCCAAATAAAATTGATATTTACAATTTTTTTCCGAAAATGAATGTCTATGATCGCCAATTTAAAATGTTGCCGCACTAAAAGTAGCCTCCAATTCAACTGATGAATCTTGAATAGCTAGAACATCACGAACCATTTTGCTCAAAATTGGAAATGCAACACTCCGCCTCCTCAACCATCCTAATAAACCTTTATTTCCATCTCATATATCCCATGACCTATGGGTAAATTGTTGAGTTAATACCGATGGTTCAAGTGGACCGGGATTCAATTGGTATGCACTATAACCAGTCATATACATATCTATTAAACTGAAAAATTCATATGAAAGTAAATTAAATATTAATGTTAGTCCCAAAAATCAAAATAATGTACTGTCACTTAATGTTTCATCAGAAATTTGGAAAATGAATTCAATTTTAGTAGAGGTGCATTGCAGGTCAATCTGTTATAGTCTTCCCTTCCATTTTCATGTGAACATTTTTTCATTGTTTCTCTTTGCATCAACAAGATGCATGAATTCAAAAAAAAACAGAACATACATATTAGAATTTCTTGAGTGATTATTCTATATAACCATAACGATATAAATACGAGAAGATCAAAATTCTAAAATTCAAGCATTTCGTCTACTAATTTGTAAGGATTAAAAAAAAAACTCAGGCTCTAACACATAAAAATTAACTTGAATCGAAGCTTTCAAGAAGATATATAGTCGTAATTTATCCTGAAATTCGACATAACAAGAAATCCCCAAAATTGATTTGGAAATACTACGATTACCGTTTATCCAACATATGAGGTTTTCACCCATTCATTGTCTTTCTGGTCTTTCACGCCTCCACTTTGACCACAAACTATCTTCGGTAATGGAGTTATGGGTTTCAGTCGCCGTTGCCAAATTTTTGTTTACAATGAAATGGGTTATGGGTTTCAATCGCCGCTGCCAAGTTTTTGTTTACAGTGAAATGCGTGAAAGGGTTTAGAAGCCAGCCAAAGATAATGAAAAATTAAAGTTAAAGAAAATAAAAAACGACGTCGTCTGGTGAAAGGGGTGGGCTGTGGCACATTTAATCTAAAATCGTTACTGCCAGTAATGTATATTAACTAAACGGCGTTAATATTTTTTAAAATTAAATAAAGCCTAAAACGTTACCATAAAGTATGTTTATACTATTTTATAAAAAAAAAGAGTAAAAACATATTAGTTGGGTGAATTGATTTTTAAAATAGCTCATTTTGGTCAAAAATTCAGATATTATATGCAAATGGTAGACCAAACAATTTACAATGCATAAATGGCTAAGTAAATGAAATAAGAGGTCATATTTGAAATAACAATTTATGTATTAAGTTGAAAACAATATATCCATAAAGTACGTTTATACTATTTTTATATATAAAAAAAAGTAAAAACATATTAGTTAGGTGAATTGATTTTTAAAATAGCTCGTTTTGGTCAAAAATTCAGATATTATATGCAAATGGTAGACCAAACAATTTAGAGTGCATAAATGGCTAAGTAAATGAAATAAGAGGTCATATTTGAAATAACAATTTATGTATTAAGTTGAAAACAATACATTCTGTTTAAATTTCATCTATAATTTGAGTACTTGATCATTTATGAAAGGGAACTTTCATATATAGTCACTCAATAATAACTTAATTACACTTTATAGTTATAGTTTGCTAATTACAATTCGTAGCTACATGTTATAAGGAGAAAAGTGACGAGCGAGATAGGCGAGCGAGAAAAGTCGGAGAATGGAGAGAGGCTAATTGTACTTGTATATATGTCATATAATTGTGTCTGTGTGTGTGTGTGTATAATTTGTATTTCTATATGTATAAAAGAGGACAAAGGACATACTTAAAACTAAAATTAAGTTGCGAGCCATAAATCATTCAAACTATAGCTATATTAGCTAATTAATTAGTATATATTTGTTTTTCTGCTTAATTTTCAGCTAATTAATTAGTATATGTTTGCTTTTCTGCTTAATTTTTCCTTTATGAAAATTACTTTTGCTATTTTAAAAAGTTTTTGAACCTGTACATTCAGTCTTTATTATCACATATCTTTACTACATCAAAGAATTTTTTTTAAAGTAATAAAAATAAAACAAACATGAGTTATCAATAATATTTAAGAGCAGAAGTTATAATGAAGATAAGAGGCATGAGTTATTATAACTTTAACATATAATTTTTAGGACATTAAATACATTAATCGTTATGCATTTATTTTATTTGTAAGAATAAATATATTTACCGAGAAATATAAGGGGTAAAATCATAAAAATATGAAAAAAGATAAATAACTTGATTGCATAAGATACATGCATAATACATAAATATGATCCTTAACTTGGCTTCAGTTGACAACTATGACCTCCAACTTTAACTGTGCACAAATAGACACTTAAATATATATGTATAAAATTGAATAAGTACACACATAAGTGTATAGTTGTGTCTGCTTGTGCACACCCAAAGTTAAAGGTTATAGTTGTCCGCTGACACCAATTCAAGGGTCATGTTTATGTATTATGCCTAAGATACGTGTTACAATCTCAAAGACCATAATTAAATAATATATAGACATAGATATTCATAATTATGTAGCTAATACATATAAAAATAACCTATATTACTATATTCACAAAGTAATAAAAATGAGGGAAAAAACTTCTAAATACATTTCAGACAAGAAAAGAATAGCGACAAAACCAAATTGTTACATGTGTAAACAAATAAACAATGACAATATATAATAATTTATTCCGTCTTTGATTTTCTTTGTGAGAAAAATTAAAATATAACTTATTCTAATAATTCTTTTGATTGAAATAGGATAATTATATCAATTATGTTTATTGTATAAAGTAGGATTATAGAGGACAAAATGACTAATATTGTCAATATGTATAGCTAAGTTACTATTACAAGCCAAAGTTGAAACTTTTTTTTTATAATAAAAGTAATTTCTAATTATGTTTCATAAAACATTCTTCTAAGTCTTCCTTTGTAAGTAGATCCACTACCATGTTTCACTTTTTAAAGTTATGTCAAAAGCTCTTTTTATATGCTATCAATTATTTTTAACACAATTACCAATATATAAAATATATTATTTAATTATAATAATATAAAGGTATTGTTAATATGATATTGTTTTATGTATGGTATTTATAGTATCTATAGTCTTATCATGCCAAATAAAAAAATATTTACATCGAAAAGGAAAAGAAATCTAAACTACAACTGTAAGTTATGAAATTATTAACACGAAAATTTAAAGGGTATGAGTTGTGAGTAATTACTCTTTATGAATATATAACTAGTAAAACTATCTGCAGGGGTAGCTCTAACAAATCGGTGGTCTAAAGTCAAATTCGAATAAAGGCCTTAAATTATATTTTTTTAATGAAGTTTATTATAGTCAATTATTTAATTTTTCTTAAGACATAGTACTCATCAGTGTATAAAAGGTGGGGACGTGAAGAGAGACATTTTACACAATACAGAGCGAGACGTAAGCCTCGAGATAGGGGCATAAGTCCCATGGATCTACGGGGCGTAATCTCATGTATATTTAATTTAATAGTTTTATAACTATTAAAATAAGCAAAGGTAAATCTTTCAATGATTTTACAAATAATTTGGTCATACATAACCTATAATATATAGTAATTATATTATGATTTTTATTTGAGATAAGTATTAATAATCATAACAAAGAAAAAAAAGTATTATTATTACTATTTGAGAAATATCATTATGCACACTAACAATAAAAAATATGATCTAAAGCAAAAAAGTTATAAATAAAATTAAAAACGTTCGGGCCTAAGTTTTTAGGCTCGGGATTTACGTCTTTATGATCGAGACTTACATCTCAAATTTTAGAAGATATATCTTATAGATCTACGTCTTTAATTTATGCCCAGAGCGTTTTTGGTACGCCCCGCTCCGAGACTCGCCCCGAGACTCTATTCGAAAATGTTTTTGAAAACACTGTTACTCATATTTTTTAAGAAAGATATGTATAACCTATTATTTTTTGAAAAACAATAAAAAAGAATGAGGCCCCTCAAATTTTGGGGCCAAAGGCAGTTGTTTTTTTTTTCAAAAGGTGTAGAGCCGTCACTGACTACCCCTGCCTCACGTGAGAATTTAATATTACAGAACTTATAAAATAATACTTAAAATCTATTCGTCATTAGAATTAAAACACTATATTATCTTACATGCAAGATAACATAGACGAACATTAATATGCAAAGGAAAATGATAATTGTAACATCTTATCATTTACCTTTCAATCAAACATATTTAATTTGATTTATAATTTATCCTTTTGCTTCTTGGGAGTTCTATTATTTGATTTTTTGGAGAATCAAATGAACATCAACTTGAAATTTTACATTTTCTAATAAATAAATAATCGTTGTTGAAGGGTTAAATAAATTTTAAAAGGTTGAAAAAAGTGAATGTATATTCTAATTTTAATGTGTTAGAAGTTCAATCATACATTTTGCTTTACATATATCATTTTAAAGTTCCCCCATTTAAATGTATCATAAGAAATTATTAAAATGGAAAATCAAAAAAGAATGTATCATATTGGACAACAATTCAACTTATTATATATACTTGAAAGAGAAAAATATTATATAAAAATTATTCAGTTTGTTTGGGTGTTTTCTAAAATCAGCATATCAAAGTGATGAAGTCCAGTTTGAAACTATACACTCCTATTTCAATTGCAGTGTCGAGAAACACATATGTTACTTCAAAAAAAATATTTACAACTTGCAGTAAATTTGAGAATCTATCCACACTTCATATTAAATATGAGCAATTAATTTATTAGGTAGTTATATATGTCTTTGGGATTAAAACAGTAGTCATATTTCTCTATAGGTCATCCAACACCACATCCTTGAAGTCATGTCTAAAGTTTATTAATTCTTGTCTTTTTTTCCTGATTCACTTTGCACATTAAGGCACAATAAGGTTTTTAAGATTTTTATGTCCTTACAACGACATACCAAATTTGAATTATGTCTCCAAGAGATGGTTGTATAGATTTTTAAGGGATATTTTTTTTATTGTACCTTCAACAATTTCAGTAGAGAAGACTTGTGTGGAACTTATGACAACAACTTTGCAGAGACATAATGCCACGATCCAAGCCTACACCTTAAACGTGGACGACACTCGAGATCCATTGTTGGTCCCCTTCGAACCTTCATCTTGGTTACCTACAAACAGAAGACTATCCAGGCATACATAAGCATTAAATTGAAAGAAATGCTTAAAAATAGTTTAGTGAATCTCAAAATTTCCCTGAATATACTGAGTATGAAACATAAGTTTTAAAAAAAGTATTTTAGACTGAAAGACTCTCCAATATTGTGTATCTATGAAGCCTCTACTATAAAAAGATGAGTGTTAGGACAAGACTCACGACTCCTCAAAAGAACTATTACTAGCAACATACATAATTGGAGTCCTTCGAACTCGAAAGCTGATGAGCAGATGAAGTGTTCTAAACAAACTCTTGTTAAGGTACCTAAGAACGTGTATTTGCATAATTGAATGATGCAAGTTAAATAAAATCAGTACATTAAATGTAAGAATATGTAATATAGTTGAATAAAAAATAATTGTATAAAAGGACTACTATATATATAGATATATACTCAACTGAATATAAACAAATAAAGATGTGAAATCATTTTAAACTTTACAAAAATACTTACCCATATCGGAACTCAACATATTAAGTGATATAAAAAAATATACTTTTAACTCTATCTGGGTGATTCTTTAACTGGTAACCATCACTATGATCTACGACAGCCAGAATTGTCCTATACTTTGTCGGGGTATAAAACACCTCAACTAAGTGGATCCACTAAACTCTTCCTGAAGGAACATAGGATTCATGTAAAATGTATGATATTGTACCCATACATACATAGTCAATAAGGAATGTGTGTTGTCTGAACTCATTCTCATATCGGTGCTCAATACTAAAAGATATGTGTATCCTTTATTTTTCACTAGTACTTTTTCCTACATATTTTTTTCTACTACGATTTTAACAAGACATATTATCCATGGACATCTGTAAGGGGTCTGACCCGGTTACTCGACATGGCACAGTTACAACAAAGTTAGCATGAATGACTTTGTTAAGGGCTTAGATGAGGATAAAATTAATTATGTGAGCGGAGTGTTAACATGGCTTAGAGAAGTCAAACAAAGTTATGAAGGCAATTTCATGACATGACATGGACGCTGGCAAGGCAGCAGACCATGGCATTGCATGAGTGCTGGCCGACCTCGATTATGGACAAAGTTTGACATGTGAAAAACACACGGTCTGATCAAGTACGAAAAAATTAAGCTGAAATAAATTAAAGCATAGAAAAATATGAATGAAACTCAACAAGAAATAAATAAATGACACGAGTGGGTTAAAAGTTAGCATGACCAAGAAAAACACAGGCAAGGCAGCGACAGGGCGTTGGCAGTGCGCAGACATAAAAATTGGGCGAATGATTCGGGTGGACTTTGATCAAGCAATAACTATACAACGTTTAGAAATTGCATTGAAGCCAAAAATATAGACGGAAATGACAACAAATGTGTGAAATTCAATCAACCATTAGTCACATGTCAAGCACATGCAGCGACGATTACCTTTTTATAACCGCTTGTGTACAGATTCATTGTAACTTGTATATGATTTTTGAATCAAAATTTGAATGCTCTTATCAGTTAGGGATGTCAAATAAACTTTAGTTTAGTGTCTATGGTCATGACATGTGTAGGGAAATCCGCATTTTTTTATCTTCCTCCAAAAAATTCTTTTTCATGGGCATCTTAAAAGGATCTTACTCAATTCAATAGAAACTTAACTTCTACCCCACTTTTTTTCTTTTTAGCATGTGTTAGAAAGCTATGCAATACAAAATACAAGGATGCCACATGATCTATAAATGTGCAGTCTTAGTGTTGAACGAAATGAGAGAGTCAAAGAGAAAAGAATTAAGTCTTGAATTTCACTAGACACTTAGAGAAGAACGTGAGGCTTTTGAATGGTGTCAAAGGCAGAAACCAACTTGTGATTGTGCCTCAAGTTGAAGTTGAAGTTAGGATAAAATTGTTATCCTAAGGAGTGAGATCCCTTCTATTGTTTTGATTATTAATATAAAGGTTGAGTTTACCTGTACTTCTTGTGTGCATTTCATTATTAAGCATCGAAAATTATTCTAAAGCAAAGCAGAAACAATATTGAACATTATGCAGAATATGCTGCGAACAGGCTGAATCAAGAGTTGGACTTGACTGCCACATAGTGGGTTAACCTCTGACACTGAATTTAGATGAAGTAATGTACCAATATGACAACATCCAAGGGGAGAGTGTTATGAAATATTATGGTATGGATGTCCACTACACTAAGAAGTTAGTATGACTGATTATTTCCATTACTTCCCTTCATTACAAAGATAACCTCCACCTTTATAATGATATGAATATCCACTACACTAAAAAATTATTATGACTAATTATCTCTATTACTTTAATCCATTATGAAGATAACCTCCTGACTATTATTATTGTAATCATTCATCTCCATAACTTTCTCTATTATATTATATAATTTTTTTAAAAAATTCTTCTTTATATTGTTTTTATTCTTAAGTTTAAAACTAGACACATATTTTTTTTTAAAGATAAGAAATCATAATACTCCTTCATTTAAAAAAGAATGATATTATTATTTTTTTAACTGTTTAAAAAAAGAATGATCCTTTCCTTTTTTGACAACAGTTTAATTTTAACTTTCCACGTGATATACTTAAAACTATAAAATTAAAGAATATTTTAGTATATTTAACATAACTTTAATTTTGAGTCATAAAATTTAAAAAATCTTTATTTTATTTAATTATGTTCCAATTAAACTAAATATCTTTTTTTAAAGGCAGTGAGTATTAAGGAGAAAATTCTTTTGGCTCTAAATTTTGAAATGTTGAAAAAATGAACAGGGCAGAAAAGCTGTGTCTTTCTTTGTTAAGCTACTGCAAAACACTTGGAAACCTCAACCAAATCCACGCCTTCGTTTACAAATCCGGCCTTGAGACCAACCCACTAATCGCCGGAAAACTCCTAATACTTGGTGCCCTGCAAATTTCTGATGCTATTGATTACGCTCGCCGTTTGCTCATACACTATCCAAACTCAGATGTGTTCATGTACAACACCCTCATCCGAGGTGAATCCGAGTCAGACTCACCCAAGAATTCAGTCAGCACATTCATTTACATGCTGCGACAATCATATTCTCCTCCTGATAGTTTCTCCTTTGCTTTTGTACTCAAAGCAGCAGCTAATTTACGGTGTTTAACAACTGGGTTTCAGCTGCATTGTCAAGCTATGACTCGTGGGCTTGACACCCATCTCTTTGTTGGGACTACAATTATTAGTATGTATGCGGAATGTGGGTTTGTTGAGTTTGCTTGGAAGGTGTTTGTTCAAATACCTCAACCAAATGTTGTGGCGTGGAATGCAATACTTACAGCGTATCTTCGAGGGAGTGATGTAAGTGGTGCAGATAAAGTGTTTGGTTTAATGCCGTTTAGGAATTTGACTACTTGGAATGTGATGCTGGCAGGGTATACTAAAGCAGGGGAGCTTGAACGTGCAGAGAGGTTGTTCTTGCAGATGCCAAGTAGAGATGATATTTCTTGGAGTACTATGATTGTTGGATTTTCTCATAATGGTTGCTTTGATGAGGCGATTCGGGTATTCAGGGAATTGGTTGGGAGTGAAAGTAAACCCAATGAAGTGAGCTTGACGGGTGCTTTATCTGCGTGTGCTCAAGCTGGGGCGTTTAAGTTTGGGATGGTATTACATGCATATATAGAGAAAGTGGGGTTGGTTTGGATAACTTCTGTGAACAATGCACTCTTGGATACCTACTCCAAGTGTGGAAATGTGTTGATGGCTCGTCTTGTCTTTGAGAGAATGCTTGGGAAGAAAACCATCGTTTCTTGGACTTCTATGATCGCAGGGTTTGCAACGCAAGGATATGGTGAAGAGGTGATAAAATATTTTCATGAGATGGAAGAATCTGGGACCAGACCTGATGGGGTCACTTTTATTTCAGTACTTTATGCATGTAGTCATGCTGGTTTAGTTGAACAAGGTCATGAGCTATTCAGTAAAATGACAGAAATTTATGACATTGAACCAACTATTGAGCATTATGGTTGTATGGTTGATTTGTATGGTAGGGCTGGTCAGCTTCATAAGGCATATGATTTTGTGGTTCAAATGCCAGTTCCACCCAATGCAGTTATCTGGCGAACACTTCTTGGGGCTTGCAGTTTTTTTGGTGACATTGAAATGGCTGAGCAAGTCAAGGAAAGACTCTCTGAGCTGGATCCAGACAATTCTGGTGACCATGTTTTGCTGTCCAACATTTATGCATTTGTAGGGAAATGGAAGGATGTTGCCATGGAGAGGAGATCAATGACTGAGAAAAAATTGAAGAAAATACCAGGTTGGAGCACGATTGAAATAGAGGACCTTTTTAGCTGGTCTCATGATACCTAACCTTGAAGGTACTGGAAAAGTAGGGCTCCATTCCATTGAGTCATCTGCAGGACCTTTTTAGCTGGTCTGTGGATGGTTCTCGTTTATCCCAACCTCTAGCA